GTATGGAACCACAAAAGACCCTTAATAACCAAAGCAAACTTGAAAGAAAAGCAAAACTGGAGGCATCATAATTCTGGACTTATATTACATTATAAGTTATATTACAAAGCTATATTAATCAAAAGAATATGGTACTGGCACAAAAGTAGACACATAGATCAATAGAACAGAATAGAAAACCCAGAAAGGAACCCACAACTATATGGTCAATTAATTTTCATCAAAGCAGGAAAGAATTTCCAATGGAAAAAAGAGAGTCTCTTCAACAAATATTGTTGGGAAAACTAGACAGCAAAATGCAAAAGAATGAAATTGGACCACTTTCTTACACCATACACAAAAATAAATTCAAAATGGATTAAAGACCTAAATGTGAGACATGAAACCATAAAAATCCTAGAAGAGAACACAGGCAGTAACTTCTTTGACATTGGTTGTAACAACTTCTTACTAAGTACATCTTCTTGAGGCAAGGGAAACAAAAGCAAAAATAAACTATTGGGACTATATCCAAATAAAAAGCTTCTGTACAGAAAGGAAACAATCCACAAAACTAAAAGGAAAGCTTTGGAATGAGATGAGATATTTGCTAATGACCTATCTGATAAAGTGTTAGTATCTATAATATATAAAGAACTTATAAAACTCAGCACCCAAAAAACAAATAATCCAGTCAAAAAATGGGCAGAAGTCACGAATAGATATTTTTCCAGAGAAGCCACACAGTCAACAGATACTTGAAGAGCTGTTCAACATCACTCACCATCAGGGAAATGTACATCAAAACTACAATGAGATATCACCTCACACCTGTCAGAATCGCTAAAATCAAGAAGACAAGAACCAACAAGTTTTGGCAAGGATGTGAAGAAAAAGAAACCATCTTGTACTGTTGGTGCAAACTTGTGCAGCCACTGTGGAAAACGGCATGGTGTTTCCTCAAAAGATTAAAAATAGGACTACCCTATGATCCAGTGATTGCACTGCTAGGTATTTACCCAAAGAATACAAAAGTATTAATTCAAAGGGATATGTGCACCATGATGTTTATAGCAGTATTATCTACAATAACCAAATTATGGAAATAGCCCAAGTGTTCATTGACTGATGAATGGATAAAGAAGATTTGGTGTGTGTATATACAATGGCACTTTACTGAGGCATAAAAAAGAATGAATTCTTGCCATTTGCAAGGACATGGATGGAGCTAGAAAGTATAATGCTAGATGAAAAATGTGAGTCAGAGAAAGACAAATACCATATGATTTCACTCATACATGGAATTTAAGAAACAAAACAAGTGAGCACAAGAGAAAAAAGAGAGAGAGAAACCAAGAATCAGACTCTATCTTATAGAGAATAATGTGATGGTTACCAGAGGGGAGGGGTGGTAGGATGGGTAAAATAGGTGATGTGGATTAAGGAGGGCACTTTTTGTCATGAGCACCGGGTGTTGTATGGAAGTGTTGAGTCACTATATTGTACACCTGTAACACCTTCTATGTTAACTAACTGGAATTAAAATAAAAACTTAATAAAAGAAGACGTCATTGAAGCTGTGGGTAGGGATAACTGAGAATGGGAAATTTGGATTAGAATAGGCTCCTTAAAACCTTTCTTCTCTGTTAAGGACACTTGTAGGACTCTATTAACTACACTGAGAGCAAAGGAACCAAGGTTGGACCTGTCACTAGGGGTCTGGTGAAAAATGTAGGTCCTTTATGCCTTACATATGTATAGTTTTTGTTTGTTTGGTTGCTTGTTTTTATGTGTATATCTTAGAAGATAGAGTAGGGAAGTGGTGACTTTAGAGGAGAGAGGAAACTCAATGTGAAATGTAGTTGTGTAGAAAATGAATGGTCTACAGTGGCCATGACTGAGCACCTCCAGAGGGGCCAAGTTGTAAGAACTGGGGGCCATTTTGCCTGAGCAAAGCCAGAAGCTAGATGGACAGATAACTTGAAATGATCACATCAACTAATGCACCTATTCTGGCTCTTAATGTGCCAAGGAGTCTGCCTTCTTCCACTAATAATAGTAAAACTAGTTTCCTGAACTTTTAGTCACTCTATCTCTATGGAAACTCCTTAGAAAAGCCTGCAGTACTAGAGAAATGCATAGGAACAGCAACTACTAAGCTCTCCACTCAAAACCTTTTTTTTTTTTTCCTTGTCTCTAGAACAAGCTAGGAGCCTTTCCCCTCTTTGTGGCTTTGCTACTGCCTTCTGGGGGGTCAAGTTTCACCACCCTCTCTCCCTTCTCTCTGCTAATTTCTGCCCATCGCATAGTTTAAACCTCAGCTCAGATGCTAACTCTTCTACAAATCCTCCTCAACTGCCCAGCCTACACTATTTGCTCTTCCAGCACTGTTCGCATATCTTGTGCCTGCCTACTAACCATTCCTGAGTATGGATTCTTCTCTTTAGTGCAATTGTAAGCTGCTCAAGAAGAGATATTGCATTGGGTTCCCCTTCTTTTAATCCCCGTACAGTGCTTATAACCCAAGGATGGCCAGGAAGCCTCCTCTTCCCCTGATGAACTTGGTGCAGGAAGGAGCACCAGGCTTTCCTCTGTCTACTGACTAAAGATGTCTTGCAAGGTTTCAGGTAGCTCATGGGCTTTGAAGACATGTGGGTCAAGAAGTTCACATGTGCATCAGGGCCTGAGATGCAGAAAGAGAATGCAGTGGTGTCAAAAGTTTGAGGATGCTAGTATGATACAATCTGCATCATTTTTCCCTTTGTTGAATGCAGTCTAGCAATGTTGTTACATGGAACCCTCACTTCTCTGGGACCTAAGTATTTCTAGCCCCGTTTGGACAGATGCAGGAATTCTGGCTCAGAGAGGCCAAAGAGGATAAGGACCATAGTTAACAGGCTGGTGGAGGCCAAGGCCATGTCTCAACACTTGAAGTCTGCCTCTGCCTGTTTGAGCCTTCTACTCTGGCCCCTGCCACAGAACCTCCGCACTTATCCTGTTAGATTTTAGAAAAGTCTTATCTTTGACTAAGTGTCAATACATCCAAATATGGAGCCCTTTTGGGCCCTTGGGAAGCCAGCCCAGGTCCAGGCTCTAGGAGACATCCTCAGGGCCAGGCTGGAGGAGACATCCCCTGAATGTTCAGTTGATTTATCTTGGCAGTTTTCCTTTGGAAACTGTTGCAGAGGGATCAAACTGGAGATCAATAATTCCCAATTCCCAACTCAGTACCTGGTCTTGGGTAGATCTACATGGTAGAGCAAACATTTATTAACTCCTTCCCATCTGTTGATTTATGTCTCCCTGTTCTGTGTGCCATCCAAATAAGCCAGCTTTTTTTCCCCCTTTTCCTTTCCTCTTTTTCTGTCTTTTCCTTCCTTTATTTTTTTATGAAGTTACCCTACGTCACACCCAGCGTGGAGCCTAATGCAGGGCTCAAACTCACAACCCTGAGATTGAGACCTGAGCTGAGATCGAGACCTGAGCTGAGATCAAGAGTGGGATGCTTAACCCACTGAGCACAGGAACCCCTATCATATGGTTGTGAAGTTGGTGGTTGCATATTGGAGAAAGCAGAGTATCAGCATCATGCTGAACTTGTCCCCTTCCAGGTGACTCCGGCCTGGGCTCATAGAGACTCTTGTTCAACCTCAAAACATGTGCAGGACATTCCTGGAGACCACTCAGCCACCAAAGTTGCTGTTACCGAATGAGGCATCGGGCTTCTTGGTCAGACCATGGTCCACTCACTACTACAGTATCCATAACCCCCTCTCAGTTTCTTGTGCCACAGCTCCTAAGCCAGTATTGTGGGCACTGGTGCAGAAGGAAAAAGGAGATTAAGGGAAAAGAGAGGTGATCAAGGCAGATCTTGGGGGTTGCAGAAAGAAGAGCGTGTAAGTCTGGGCTCTCTATTGTAGCAAAATGGAGGAGGCGGAGCCAAGGAAAAGCAGCAAAAGGAGGGGGACTGAGACCGGAACCGCAGAGACTTTGCCAACCTCTTTGGCTCCCAAGCCTGGATAGACAGGGCGGATGTTCAGCTGCAGTTTCCCATCGTCTCTTATATGGGCCGCTCCACTTTCTATAAAGGGCAGCTGCAAGAAGTGCCGCCAGCACTGACTCAGAGCTAGTGGCAGAGCCTGGCTCCGCCCTGCCTGCAGCACCGGCTGGCTTTAGAAACACGGATTTATCCACTGCGACACAAATTTACTTGGAACGACCCGGACTGCGTGGAAAGAGGAGCCATGCTGGAGTAACACTAGGTGCTGCTGTCCCCAGTTCGGAAGAGACGCTGTCTGTGCTCCTCAAGCTGCACAGCATTTGGAGCCCGCGGAGTTCGCCCGCTAGACTGCCGAGCTCAGTTCTGCACACTTGCCCACTGTGAGACGGTCCAGCAGTTTGGTCTTTTTGCCTTCCTTCTTGCCAGTGTCCCCGCGCTACCTCCCTGCCCACCCCCCACCATCTCAGCTCCTTGTTCCTGGACCCTGAGCAGCACTGGCCCAGCGCTCGGTGGAGACCCTGCCTTCCCTCACTCTCTCTTCCCCAGGCACTCCCTGACTCAGTAGCTTCAGGACCTTGAGGTTCTTCAGAGGTGTCAAGCTGGATGTCCTGATTACAGAATTGCCCCAAGGGGCTATCCTGAACCCCAGTCTCAACACTGTGAGCTATGGGGACAAGCTGATCTGAGAAGCTCTAAGTGCACAGAACTGCTTTGATGACCTAATCACCTCCATCACCTCCCAGGTTGTGTGGGCTATGAGCAATGCCACATCTGATGTGGGTTGCTCAATTTGGAATAATGTGCTCTCCATGATGCACAAGCTGCATGACCACATCCTGAACATGGGAAATCTGGCTGACTTAGGTCACATGGCTTCAGAGATGGTATTCCAGGAAGAGTGGGTGCAATTCTGGCTAGTAATAGGGTACACTATAACTGATTTGCTGGAATTTGGGCAATTGGGTCTCAAACCATGTGATTATGAAGTACAAAAAAGTGCAAAAGCAGTGCTTGGACAGGAAGGTGGTTAAGTTTTTTTGTGATTTGGGGTCTGAGCCTTCAACCTGGACCATTTGTGTGGGAAGAGATGGGAAAGGTATGAGAGCTGCAGTGTGAAAATATTTCTTTGGTATTGAGACAATAATCTCAGCAGTTTGGTGAAACAAGGTTTTTACTTGTGTTTTTGGACTTGTAAGAGGGGAAAACTCAGGGCTAAGTTCCTGTGCCTCACTGTGCCCTTTCTATCACAGGTATGTTATCTGTGTAATTCCTTGGTGTTTGAGAAGATGACATGACACCTCAGTCATTTTGCTCTGTACTATTGTGCCTATGTAACTATGATAACCATGGCTGCTATTTCCTTGGACCAACATTGAGTATGTGTTTTCCCAGGCTCTTCAGGTCTTATGAAAGGGTAAGTTCCTCTTCTAGGTAGATGGAAACAGCTAAGAATACAAATGATCTAGTAATATTCTCTGAGTTCCTTGAAACAATCTATGTGAATGTATATGTATAATTTAGGAGGGCTGCAAGATGGTAAAATGCAAACCTTCACCAAATCAAATCTTACATAATAAAAATGCCACCATATTTGATATGGTGTTATGGGAACAGAGATGTGGCAGTGAGAAAGTGATTTATTTTTAAAAGTGCTCCTCTTCTCCATTGGATAACTTTTTTTTTCTTAATTTGCTGTATTGCAGGACCAGCTAAGGGAAGAAAGAGGGAAGGGAAGAATCAGATGAGGGTGTGGCTTCAGGGCTGATGGCAGGTTGAGTCTGGGAGGTGGCTGTGAAGTCTGTGAGTGAGGGTTGAGCAAATGAAGTGGGAAGACAGGGAGAGATTTGAGGAAGAAGGAGTTGGGAGGAGGGCTGGAAGTGATTTAAAAGGAAGGAGGTAGGACAGAAGGTAAGAAGCTGGGAGGGGTTACATTGTTAATCATTTGAAAGGGAGCCAGAAAACAAATGAGATGGGAGAGACAAGGAGGGAAATGAAAGGGGGTGTGACTGGAACCAGATAAAAGGGGCCTTGGAGGGATCTAGGTGATAGGAGATGGGAAGGGGCACAGGTGAGGAGGAAGAGAGGGAGGGAGGAAAGGAGAGAAGAGCAGCCATGGAGGAATCAAGATGGGAGGAGGTTGAGGGAGAAAAAAAAGGGAGCATGCAGAAAGCCAAGTGGGAGGCAGAATGGAGGAATATGGGGATGCTTACCTATCCATATATGATAAAGGAAAAATAAGTCATGCTTTTGGGCATCCACCCCTTTTCTCCATTGAATGCCCTACTCAGAGACAGAAGTTTTTGATGTCAGTCCACTGGATTCCTCTCTTCCCACTGAAATATTTCTCTAAACACTAACTAAAGTTGCTCTTTCATAAAATAAAATGACACTCATTTGTCAACTGAACTAGTTGGGCACATTACTCATCCACTTACAAAGTCTTTGCACCTTTACAAAAGAATGTCAGTTGATGAGTGGCTAATAAGTAACCTTAATTTGAATTGTGAAATTGGGCTGGGGTATTTTTTCTTCCAGGTGATGCTCTATCCCCTGAAGTCCCAAATTATTCTGATGTGAGGCAATCATTCTTATTTGGATTGTGACCACCTGTGCTGCTTTGCCACATGCCATTTTCCAAAAGCTTTACCAACTGGAGATTGGGTAAGAGGAACACAGGCTGGCCAGTGTTTGGATTTCAGCAACCCATGACCTTGGAAGCCTCATGGACAAACTTATGGAACAGGGGCTCCATTTCAAAACATGGGTACAAAAATCAATTTCTCCAAATTGAAATGTACTGAGAGTACCCAAGAACTCTCAGGACAAGTGGTCGCTAGGCATAGCACTTTCTGTGTGGGGTCCATGGATTTCCTATATGTCATGCTTGAGTTCTGGGAAAGATGAAACTTAAAGCTCCCTACTTTATAATTCTAGTCTTCAGGCCCAGTGCAGACACAGAATAAATATGTCTCTTCCTTAAGGCCTGTCATATAATACCTGTCTGTGGGACTCAGGGAAAAGGCAAATAAAGTTTTTTTTTTTTTCTCTTTGACTCTTATAACCTAGAAACGTAACTGAAGAAACTGTCTGCCTCTTCAGTTTCCTGTACACTTCAAAATCCATGTGGAAATATCCTGACCTGAGTACATTTTTGCTCTTCTTTGTCTTGCCATTAATGGTACTGGTGGTTGTCTATGGTCATGTGGCCTAGAAGCTGTGGATCCATAATGATGTGGGAAACAAAGGCAGAAGAAAAATTATTAAATTTTCTTTCTACCTATAGCCCATTGACAAGTCCTTGAAACAGGCAAAGTGACATCCTCTAGGGATTCAACTGCCTTAATGTTAATACTTTGCTAAGAGCAAAAGGCAATCCTAGCCTGACCTCTCCCTACCAGTATCCTGTAAGTCTACTTTAACATGGAAAAATTCCTTTGGAATCTTCCTTTATCTCTAAACCCCCCAACACATGCATTGGAAATCATCCCCCAAGCATATGGCCCACTGATATACATCTGAAGGGTCTCATGACTAAGGTTTTACTGGATGGTAATAAATGACTTTTCCCAACAATACCTAACCCCTCAAGGTCCCGGAAACCTGGCTTCCAAAATTCCTTAGAGATTTACGCTATCCCTAACCCCCTCCCAATTTGAAAGTATATAATGGGTCACTCCTCATGACCCCATTACAGCTCTTTCTGTCCACGGGTCCTGTCCCCATACTTTAATAAAATCACCTTTTTGCACCAAAGATGTCTCAAGAATTCTTTCTTGGCCTTTGGCTTCGAACCCTAACATTGTCTTTCCTACATCAAATAATGCTGTTGATGACATAAATATCCACACCTACATCTACCAGTGTGGGAAGAAGCAGACCCTGAAGATGCTGATGACTGTGGTGCTTCTCTATACCATCTGCTGACTTCCCCTCAACCTCTATTTGATGCTATTCAAGGAATCCATCTCAAGTTGCGATGGTCTCTACTTTTTCTTCCACTGGCTGGCTCCTGCTACAACCCCTACATCTACTGCTGGCTCAGGGATAGCTTCCAGATTGAAATTCAGAAGGCCATCATGGAAATCCAGAAGATGCTGCTGGATGGAATGGATGGAATCAGCTTCCTGAGAGGGAGCATCACCAACTGAATTCTTCCCCCCACCTCACTGCACTGCTTGGGGGGATCCTAATCCTGGAGTGCCCAAATTCCCATGATTCAAATATTTCAATGAGCTACCCAGTCTCCCTCCCTTCCCAGAGGTGGAAATTTCTTTTCTCTACCCCCCAGTGCCTAGGGTTTAAACTTCCAAGATCACAATAGGTATCCATCTTCAAAATCTCTGAGATAGGGTGGAACCAAAATACTTAGATTTCATTCATTTTTCATGGTGGGGGTGATGAGGGAGCAAAAGGCAAGCTGAGGGCAAAGCACAAGCTGACAGCCTGCAGCCACTCCCCTGGACTCCTGGGTGGGATATGTGTGATATTTCTCAGGCACTCCTGGCTGCCTTAAAACTAAGGGAAGGGAAAAACAAATGGTTAACTGACAAAGATCACAGTCCTGCAGGACACAGTCTCTATCAGTTTACAGATGTCTTAGTGATTTACAAGAAAAAAGCACTCTTATCAATAGCCTAACTTTCAGAAACCCATAGACTCAATTTCCTGGAGCCCTAACATCAGGGCTTCCATAGTGATGTGGGCAACAAAGAAGAAGGAAATGTAAATAAAATTGAATCTCCTTATAACCTGCAGCCCACTGACAAATACTTGAGATAGGCAGGGTGTAACATCCCTCCAGGAATCTCCCAACTGTCTTAATGTTAATGCCTTCCTAGAAGGAAAAACAACCTTAACTTGACAACAGCCAGACCTCCAGTATCCTGTGAGTCTTTTTTAGTATATGAAAGTCCTTTGGGAAACCTCTCCTTTGCTTTATCTCCCCCAACTCCAAAGTATACAATCAGCCATTCCTCACAAACCCAGTGGAGTAGCTCTTTCTGCCCATGGTTCCTTTCCCGTGCTTTAATAAAATCACCTTTTTGCACCAAAAAAGTCTCAAGATTTCTTTTTTGGCCATAGGCTCTGGACCCCATCAACACTCCAAAACCACATTAGAGGGAATTGAGGGAAGGGTTGATAACTGAAGGATGATGACCTTGTGAACTACCATATGTATCTTACTTGCTCTCATTTTCTTCTCTGCCTTTTCTCTTGCTCCCCTTTCCTACCCTTTTCTCTCTCCCGACTGTAAGTAAACTGAAGATATTAGATGTTTCTCCATCACTCAAAGGAAAGTTACACTTTAACTTGGGTCTCTTGAATTCCATCTCTGATTCTGGCCATTGTTGCCTTCTCCATTCTTTGTGTGCCCACCTGGCCATGGCACTTGTCTTCTGATATCATAGACATTGTCTTAGGAGCTACAAGAGCCCCCAGAGGTTCTTACTTGTATTTTATTTAAATGTAAAAGAGAGCAATACCCCTATTGTGCCCAAAATATTCCCAGGGAAATGCCAGAAGAGTATAAAGTATAGTTCCTGAAATTTTATTGGGTGCTCTGGGAATTTAGAGGACCTTATAAATGCAAGTAAGTTATATCTTATCTCCTTACAGAAGAGTGAGAATGAGAAATCTTACAGGAAATGACAAGGCAGTTAAATGGCTTACCCCATGTCACTTGGGTTAGATTCCTAAGTTTCAAATATAGTAATTTGGTGATAGCTTCCCTTCAAATGTAGTAACAATTCAAGTGTTCAAGTTAACTCAGCAAAATTAAAAAAAAAAAACTTCATGTTTCTTGACCCCTACATTTAATATTATACTTTGTTTCATGTAAATTTGTACTATATAGTTTTGCCTTTCTTTTGCCTGAAGAGAGAGGAAGAGTAATGTGTTCAGTGTTGATTTAATTGCTTACATCTCTCTAGCCTATGAGGATTTCAACTCAGCAGGAGAGAAGAGGAAGAAGTAATTATCTAATCCTCTGCCATTGCCTTTCATCTGGAGACAATGCTATTAAGGTGTTTTGAAGGGTATAGCTGACTGTGTGTGTCAGGATGATGCCAGGATAGGGGATGGAAAATCTTCTTTTCCTCCCACCCTCTTTCCATGTCTCTTTCATTCCCCTCCCCCTCTTCACTTTCTTTCCCCTAATTCTGCCAGTCTGTATTATCCCCTCCTCTTCACTCCTCCTCCCTTCTCCCAATTCTCCTCTTCCCTTTTCGCCTCTCCTTGCTCCACTTTTTGCCCCTCCTCTTCCTTCTCTCACTTCCTCATTCCTCCTAGCCTGTCCCTTCTTTAGTGCCACTCATCTATTTTTCCTTTGTTCTTCTTATTTCTCTATTATCTAGTTGTTCATTCTTTACTTCTTTGAACTCTGATGTATAGTTTATTTTTTTTCTTTTTTTTTAAGATTTTATTTATTTATTTGACAGAGAGAGAGACAGCAAGAGAGGGAACACAAGCAGGGGGAGTGGGAGAGGGAGAAGCAGGCTTCCCGCAGAGCAGGGAGCCCAATGCGGGGCTCCATCCCAGGACCCTGGGATCATGACCTAAGCCGAAGGCAGACGCTTAACGACTGAGCCACCCAGGCGCCCCTCTGATGTATAGTTTAAACTACTGCTTCCCCATTGCATTCTAGATATTCATCAATTCCCTCCCATAATTGCTCCCCTCCTCTTCTCTTCTTCTCTCCTCTCCTCTTCTCTTCAGAATTTGGATTTCTCTTTTACCCTTAGTGAAAGCCTAGGGAATTGGGAAGCAGCTGCCTCTGCCTCTGGGAAGCAGCTGTCTCTGCACTGCTCCATAGGCCTCTGTGTGGAATGTGTGATAGAATGACTGGTTGTCACTGATTACATTTTTCTTTTTATCTTCCTCATTCAATTGTAACAATCAAAATGTGACTGTCCATTATGCCCTCCTAGGGGATAGAATGGCTCACTTTACGATCATAAAGGAAATTGTACAGCCTTAGGCCATAGCTTCTGTGCCTTTTGGGAAGTTATTACCATGCAGTGACCCACAAGAACATAACCCTGTTCATTCTGAAGGAATTATACCCAGTTCAAGCATGTTTCTTCTCTAGCCGCTCATTTTTTTTTTCCAAACTCTTTCTGTTTTACAGCATTTTGGCTATTGCTCATTTTCTTCTCCTACTCCCTTTCCAATAGCCACCCCCAAAGAAGCAAAATAACTTCTAAAAATATAAAACTGTAGAGAGCAAAATGGAGTCTCTCCTGTTAAGCAGGAGCCTGTGTCAAGCAGGGACCTATGTCATGTGATGACACAAGTAGGAAAAGTACTGCAGCTACAAGATATCGCTAGGACCAGCATCAGCTGGCAAACTAGAACTGATAACAAGCAGAACCAGAGGAGGTCTGCAGGGGCCCAAGACCTATTAAATCAAATCCCTTTAAAAAGGGGAGGATTTTGGCAGCAAACTGTCAGACTCTTCAGACATGATCCCTCTATGTCTGACCACTTAAAAAAGGCAACTGCTGCCCAAGGCTCTGCCCAATTGATCTCTGAACAGAACCAAGATCCTTCACTGCTTGAACATAATAAGCAGTAAGTGCCAAGGGTTGACCCTGACCAGAGGCCTTATCTCAACTGCGTGCCCACAGACTGACTTCACGTTTGATTTGTTAACTTCCTACACCAGTTCTGTTATCTTGTTTGTTGTGTGGTTTGTTTTATGTCCTGCTCTGTGTGCGGTGTAAGAAGCCAAGTTTAATCACATGGTGAAATGTCATTGAGTTTGGAATCTTGAACCTGCTTTATAATTGTAATTTAATTGCTTTATGACTGAATAAAGCTGACATTGTGGAAAGACACAACTCATGCATGTGCCATCAGCGTGCTCATGACAATAACTAAAAACAACAACAATAACAACAATAGATTCTTATCAACACAAGATATCTGTGGAGATTCTTGGAAGTCCCAGGCTTGAGACTTTTGCTGCTGCCTTTGCTGTCAACTTCATAGCAGCTACACTACCCCATTACCTTTAGCAGTTTTGAAAATGGGTTATCATCATTTGGTTAGAGTTTATATGTGTATCTGCTTCCTCTTCTTTTTCCTCAACCATCTTCTCTTTCTTCTCCTACCTTAATCATTCTCTTCTTAATGAGGATATATTATTTTTTTGTTAATTTCTTAAATTTTATTATATTATGTTAGTCACCATACAATACATCATTAGTTTTTGATGTGGTAATCCGTGATCCATTGTTTTTGTATAACACCCAGTGCTCTATGCAATACGTGCCCTCCTTAATACCCATCACCAGGCTAACCCATCCCCACACCCCCATTCCCACTAAAACCCTCTTTGTTTCTCAGAGTCCATAGTCTCTCATGGTTCATCTCTCCATCCAAATCGCCCCCC